CAACCTCCGCGTGAAGGGCGTGGGGAGCAGGTGCTCCAGTTGGCCCCGCTGTGGAGCGGGCACCCCAGGGGACGCGACCTGCCCCTGGAGGAACTGGGGCAGCAGGCGGGGGAGGAGGCGGGGCACCACGCGTCCTGTGTGGGTGTGTTTAATGTGGGACGCTTGCCTGGTCCTTGGGTTGAGCCGGCGTTACTGTCAGCAGTCTGGAATGCAGGGGAAGGCGAAAGAGAGGGTGAACACAGAAGACGACCAGGCGTAAGTGGCGCCGAGAGCCACCGGCCTGCGGCAGGAGCGCGAGGCAGGAGAGCCCCGGGGAGGACCAGGGGCCTCGACCGAGACGGAGGGCAGGCGGCCACCGCCTCTCCCCTCTGCGGGGCAGCCCAGGTCCGGTCAGCAGCCTTGGAAAACTGTGGCTGCCGCGAGCCCCCTGGCCACGCCCATCAGACAGGGCAGGCTTGTCCCTGCCCTCGGGCACTGCGTGGTTCCGCCCGGCTGCCGCGGGGCGGGGGGGTTCCTGCCCTCGGGCACTGCGTGGTTCCGCCCGGCTGCCGCGTGGCGGGTGGGGGGTCCCGGCAGCAGGTGGCTGTCTTGCCCCGGCCCAGGCCCGGGCTCAGCTATGGGAGGGGCTGCGTCCCAGGCTTCACGCAGAAACAGCATTTGAAATGCGTCCTGAGGAACGTTTCTAGAGGTCAGGGGTTGGCTCTCTTTTTCCTTAAAGGGCTTGACACAACATGTATTGGGCTTAAACATCCACATATTTTGTATTAATGAAAACTGACATGTCACTGAGAACGTTTCTTTGTAATACGAGTCGGCTGGTGAGAAGACTAACCGTCTTTACGGGAGAACATTTCGCTGCCCCAGGTTCAAGGTGTTCCTTGTCATCGGAGGAGGTCACAGATGGCCGGCTGTGGCTGCTGCTCTAGGATGTGATGTTACCTATTTCATCTTTAAAAATGTGTTTTCACACAAAGTATCACTGCTTTAATTTTTCAACCATTAACCATCTAAAAATGGTGCTAACCTCCCAAGCCCTGGCCCCGGCAGTGGCTGGTTTGGCTGCAGGTGGCCCCGCCCGCCGCCCGCTCCCGAGGCGCCTCTGCGCGGGCTCCGGCCGGCCCACGGGTCCCTCCACTGTCACGTCCCTTCACGGCAGGCTCGCCGCAGGGGCCTGGCGGGAGGGACCCCGCCGCCCCGTGTTTTTTAACATACAGCGGTGGGCAAGGGTAGGTTTTCAGTGGTTCATGTGGAAAATAATAGAAGGATAAACTCTGTTTCACACGCTCGCACGTGTAAACCCACTTTTGCGCTCCCTGCACATGTGTGCATGAATCTTATGTTGTAACTTTTGTCACGAAGGTGGTGTTTTTAATGAAATGCTGTAGATTATTCAATAAATTGTGTTATAAATACATTTAGAAGGCATTAGGATCTTACTTCACATCCTAGACCAATATAAGATTGAGGCAGGTCACATATTTCATGTAAAATAAAAGCTCTGGAAGAAAATATAGAATAATAGCTGTATAATTTTTAAACTCAGGCCTTTAGTCACAAGAACATGGGAGATGATTATGACAGGAAGCCCAGAGAGATGCTACCCAATTATGATGGTATAACTAAGATTATACACAAAAAGGGTATGACACCAGAAAAATCAGCCGAGAACATGAACAGAAAATATGCAAAAAACAGGAAAAGTGAAAAAAAGAAAACCCCTAGCATTCAGGTGAGTTCGGCCGCGCCCTGGGCACAGGCCGCGCCGGCCGCAGGGGCAGCGGGGCCCCTCCGTGTGCCCAGTGGCTCTAAACTTCAGGAGCGCCTTCAGAAGGCGATCTGGTGATGGCATAAAAACCTCAGAAATATTCATACACCGAACTCCTACGTTCCTGCCTCAAGGCAGTTACCATCCCACAGCGGCACCTGCAAAAGCCGGCCAGGACGCAGCCGCAGGGAGTGGTCTGGCCGCGCCCGCGCCCACGCCCACGCCCACGCGGAGGCTCTGTCCCGCCAGTGTCTGTCAGTTTACACTCCCTCCTTTATTTCTGCGATGCGCTTGTGCTGTAATTTCTGATCACTTAAAAATATAGAAAAATTGATGTCCTACTTGGACCTTTTACACTATTAATTGGATGACTAATTCCCCGATAATTTCTGGTTCCTTTATGGTTTGATTTCGGGCATTTTAAAATGTCCATAAATTTGGAGTTTATCCTTATGTAACATGAAGCTGTGAATGAATCTTTATTTTTGCTTTTCCCAAAAGGCCACTATTTACTCTCTAACAGAGCTTCATCACATTGATTTGAAGAGCGATGTCTCTCGTTGTCGAATTATCTTATACGGTGTATTTGGCCGGCGTGTGGATTTTCCGCTCTGCAATGCCGGCTCTCCGGCGGGGTCTGCACCTGCAGCGGCTGGGGCTCCAGGATGCGGCCCCCGGCGGAGCCGGCCCCTCGTCATTCTCCCACGTATTTTCCCTACTTTTTCTTGCTTGTTTGTTTTTTCTGTATGCACTTGAGGGTTAATTACTTTAGCTAAAACTTTGTAAGATGGAGAAGATGACTCTGACCTCATTAAGACGGAGAAAGAGCAGCATCAGAAAATTCACGACAAATGGCAAACAGAAGCGAGGATCTGTGACGCACACTGTAGAAAAAGTGTTAATTCCTTTTATATAGAAATTAACGCGGAACAGAGAAATGCCCTGTACACAGACAGGAACGATGAGGAAGGCGCAGAGTTGGAAAGTCCATCCGCACGACTTTCAGGAGAAGGAAGAGCAAGTGCTGAGGACCCGGGGGTGCCCGTCACTGCGAAGCGCCAGGCCCTGGGAGCGACGTGGGCGCGGCCGCCCTGTGGCGGAGCCGACGGGACGACCGAGGGCGTCAGAGGGACAAAGGCTCCGGAGACCTGTGCAGGGACCCCTGAGTCCTCGGCTGGGCAGACGGCGCTGCTGGGGGCAGGGGGCTTTGAAGGCAGGTGGCCGCGAGGGGCACAGCACTGGGCCGACCGGGCCAGGGGGACGGAGCGGGCGACGCCGGGGAGCGGCCCCCCTGCGCTGCACAGCAAGCCCGAGCTCAGGCCGGCTCAGCGCCCGCTGAGCTCACAGCTTCTAGCAACTGCCCACCTAACAAGGCAGGGGTAGAAACAGGGAAATGTATGCCATAGCCAGGAGAAAACTCAGAAACAGACCCAGGAAGAACAGAGGTCATGCGGTTATCAGACAGGGACCCAGTGCCTTGTGCAGGGTGCTCCAGGACTTAAAGGACGTCCTCACCCTAATCACGAAAGTGGGAGGAACGAAAAACCGCCACCGGACTTCCAGAGCCAGAGTCGCAGTCTTTCCAGGGAAACGTTGGCCTGATGGCCTGACCGGCGGGCTCTGCAGTCAGCCTCCCGAGGTCTCTGGACCCACGTGGTTACCATGGAGGGGGCGTGCCAACTCTTGGGGCCTGGCCGCTGTGTTACTAGGGGAGAGGGCTTTGTCCTGGGGATTACATTGCCTCGGGCTTGGGAAGGACCAGGAGCCTTTTCAAAATAAGGAGTCAACTAAGGGAGCTTTCTTGGGGTGGGTCCACCCCTGACCAGCTAACCCCTTGACAGGTCTGTGGGGTCACCCTCCGGGCTCACCTCCCCCTTTGCTGGTTTGTCCCCCCCCGCCCCCCCCCTCGCCGCCCCAGGCCTGTGGGACGCACCTGCGGCTCCCCAGGGAGAGAATGAAGCTGTAACTTCCGGGGAAGGCAGCGGGCTCACGCCCCTGATGACCTCAAGCAGACAGCGCTGTTTAATCTCGTCTCATTCCCTCTGCTTCCGTCCCTCACTAGTGACCGGCTGCCTGCGCTCTCACCCTGTCCTGGGACAGCAGAGGCCCTGCCCCCCTCAGGCTTCGAAGCTGGGGGGGTCCCGTGAGCCTTGGTGGGAGCTTATGGTCCCAAGTGAAGGGACCAAAATCCTGCCCTTCCTCCTGAAGCTGCCCTGTCGGAGAAACTGATTTCAAGCTATTTATCAAGAAACAAGAGACTCAGAAAAAACTTTGGCCCTCCCCCACCCCCTTTCTTGCCCAGGAGACTAGAGGAAGCTTCCAGAAGGAGGCAGCCCTAACCTAACTTGAAGCGTGGACAGCAGGAGGGCTTCCAGCAGTGGCTGTCTGCCGGCCCCGGGCCCCGTCCCGCTGGGCCCCCCGGCGGGCATTTCCCTGTCAGTCCCCGGCCTCGCTGCTGAAACGCAAAACCCCAGCACCCCTGTCTTTCTCCAAAAACATCTTGCATTCCCCACGTTGCCTCTGTGGTTTGGAATTTCGATGGCAGTCTCAGGCCCTTGGGAATTCCCCGTGCGCCTGTGTTCAGCCTGGATTTTCCCCTCTGGATTCACTCTGCTCAGTCGGTTATCGGCCTGGCCTGCGGGGCGGGGGATGGGGGGGCGGAGGGGAGGGAGTCAGAAGGTGGGTGGAGAAGAGCGAGTATGTCCGAGCTGCCAAACGACTGCCAAGGGCGACTGAAGGCTGCCGTGACCTGGCGGGACCCCTCCCTTCCCGGGTCTCCCAGGGTTTTACTAACAAGGAAAATCAGCAAAGTTCAAACAGCACAGTTGACAGAAGTAGCCAACTATATTAAGTTTTATGTTCTTTATTATAGTCAGTTGTAAAATACACCTTTTTAAAATTCTTAATATTTTAATGTATTGAGGTGAGTTAAGAATTACAGGGAGAACGTACGTAAGTGGGAGGTTGGACTGGATTTTAAGATCCTTTAGAATCCCATGATTTTGTAACTTCTGAGTTGTTTAAGGTTTCCCCAACCTCTGAGTGGCTTTAATTTACCAGGAATATAGAGACGAAACAAGTAATAGTTGAGAATTTCCAGTCCTTTTTTTTTTTTTTTGGTCTGGTATGACACCATTTGTTAATGCTTAATTGTGTATGAAAAATGAAATTACAATAAATCTCTAACTTCTACTTCAAATTTTCTCATTAAAATCTTTCTTTTTTCATGTTTTAGTGAATAACCCTATACCTTCCAATTTGAAATCAGAAGCAAAAAAAGCTGCTAAAATCCTAAGAGAATTCACGGAAATAACTTCCAGAAATGGACCTGATAAGATCATTCCCGGTAGGTAAATAGGGTTCGCACTGTTCTTTTCCAAATTTGCTTTGTTTTCTGACAGGTTTTGCCTTCCTGGACTTGGGCTGTCAGTCCCCCGAGAGCAGCCAGCGCCCAGACAGCCCTCGTCCGTGGGGGACCTTCCTGCCGCGTCCCACAGCCGCCCCCCGAGGCGCCCTGCCCCAGCACTGTGCCCCCCCCACCTGTCCTTGCCTTCCCTTCCTGAGGACTTTGCAAGCTCATCTTGCAAACTCATTAGCTAATCTCAGAAATAAATGTTAACCTTCCTGTTTTCTCCTTCTAGCCATGTACAGCTCAGACTGGTTCAGGGGAACATTAATCCGCAATTCTCAACACAGCTGCACCTCAGTGTCCCTGGGCCGTAAAAATCACCACCCCCAAACCCGCTGAGTCAGACCCGCCCCCAAACCCGTGTGGTCGGGGTGCAGATTCCCAACGCCTTTGTCGCGTGCTCCTGACGCAGGCAGGCCTGGGGCGGGGCGCCTGGCCCGAGGGGAGCCTTGGGAGCCGCCGGCTCCTTCTGTTCTGTGGCCCAGGATATGCACCTCGCGCTCGATGCCGCTGGGACCACCCCGGGCTGGGCCGCCGGCCGGACCCCTCTGAGCCGCCGCAGGGCCTGCCGCTGACCTGCAGCCGGGGAGCTGCCTCGCCTTCTCAGGCAGCATTTTCTGAAGTCACGCAGCTGAACGTTAAATGTCTAAAAATTTCAAAATTTGTTATGATGTTAATGACATTAATGATTGTTTTGGTTCAGCCACCTCAAGAAAACAGGGCCCCAGAAACACTTGCTCCCCCAGCGCAGTGGAGCCCCCGGGAAGTGCAGGTGCCGGGGTGCCCTCGGGTGCCAGGGCCCTCGGGGTGCTCTGGGCTGCGGGCGGAATCCGCTCCTTCCCGCGCCCCCGGGGACTCGTGTGCGCACACGGGCGTGAGCGGGCTCCTGCAGGGCTTGAGGTCCAGCCAGAGTCTTTGGGTGGCACTATTCTACAGTGGGAAGCATGTTCATTGTAAAAGACGAGCTTCAGCTCCGTCTGTGTTTGTGAACAGCGGCGCCCACCACCCACGAAAGCCTTGAGTGAGGCCGCAGTGAGAGCTGAGAGGGAAGATTCCGCCATCGCCGTCGCGGTGGGAAAGCGCACCTCCCTGAGCCGGGCACAGGTCTCCACCGCGTCACCACGCATTTCTAACACGTTAAATGCAACACTGAGGTGCCCCTTGGTCGGCTGCCCCTAGGAAGCCAGCTTCACTTACAAACAGTGCCCCTGAGGGGGCGCGCCTTAGAAATTTAGTGTCTTTCCGGTCACACAAAACCTCGTGTGTGTGTTGGAGTGCAGTCTGGTCTGACGTCCTTGACAGAAGATGTAGGTGCAGTGATGCTTAATTATGTTAGAAATAAAATTGGGGCTCTAAAATGGTTTCCAATGTTTAGGGCTTCAGTGTTATTTGAAATGTGTAGTACCGCGTACATAAACCCACAGAACAGTGAGGCGCTGTGTTTAGTGTGTATATATTAATAACCCCCATTTTATGCATGTACGTCCCTGAAATCTGAATAAACCACCATTTTATAAGTTGAATTGTATTTTTAGTGCATTTGAATACTATGACAGATTGCCTTATAATGTTAAAAATGTCTTAAAGTGGCATTTTCTGCTTCCCAGTCTGGATTTTCGTATTAATAAAAGGTGAGCACCGTAGCTTAAGGCCACAGTGCCACACGCTGTGTGTTGGTCGTTTGAAACTTTTTCCTTAATCTCGATTTCTTTGAAAATACTTAGTATTTAAATTATTAATTATATCCCAAATTAATTGAGGCCCCCAAGTTGTCTGTCCTACTAGGGAAATCAGTAAAACCTCCCCAAGATGCCGCTCCCTTATACTGGCAGTTGTGGGATTTGGGGTGCTTGGGGCGCCGCATTTGCAAAGACGCGGGAAAGTCGAGGCGGTCGCACGGCCCAGGGCCTGTGACCCCGGAATCGGCGCAGCGCGCACCTGCAAGACCTGCTGACCCGGCCTTGTCTCCGACCTCGCAGCCCACGTGATCGCCAAAGCCAAGGGCCTCGCCATCCTGTCGGTGATAAAGGCCGGCTTCCTGGTGACCGCGCGCGGCGGCAGCGGCATCGTGCTGGCGCGCCTTCCCGACGGAAGTAAGTGGCCTTCCCTCCCCCGGGGGGCGGGGGGGGGCAGGGTCCACGCCCCTCGGGGAGCCCCGCACGCTTCCCACACCCCGAACCGTCGCCGGGGCCCCGCCGCCCCGGCCCGAAACGGCGGACGCGCGCAGGCCTGGCCCTGCCGGGTGCGTCTGTGCGCCCCTTTCACGGCCGAGGTTAAACGCGGCCGAGTCTGCTTCTGCCGTTACGTGGCCGTTCTTACCCCCGACGCGGCGGCGGGCCGGTGGGGAAACGCGAGCCGCCTGTGCGCCCTCCCACGCTCCTGCGGGGGTCGCTTCGGCGAGCACCCCGAGCGGAGTCACGCAGGGATGGATCTCATGGGGCTCCGCTTTCCACGGCGAAATCAAAGTACATGTATGGCCTCGAATCCCGAGAACCCGCGGGCACAGCAACGTTCGCGGCTGCGACGCGGGGCCGCACTTGAGCGCTGCCCGGTCAGTCGCGAAAGTGGCCGGTGTTTGCGTCAAGAGCAACAGCGAGGTTACCCAGCCTGTGGGACGCTTGCCGGCAATGGCACGTCCAGGTGTCTCTGGAGCACGGCCTTTGGCCTCAGGGCTGGGCCCGTGCCTCCTGCCAGGGGTCCCCTCGGGAGGGATGGCGTCCCCGAAGCCTGGGCTCTGCTCTCAGGGCTTGGTTCTCGGCTGAGAAACCAAACGAAGGGCGGTCCTCTCTTCGAGCACCGCCCACGCGGTGCGGGCCGACTGCCCGGGGTAGGCGCAGGCCAGAGGGAGTCCCGGGCGGCCGGCGCCAGTGAGGACGCCTCGCCGGGGGTGTCCCCTCGGCCAGGACAGGCCGCCTGAACAGGTGCAGGAGCCACCAGCCTCTGGGGCTTCCTCCCGGGCCCAGCCTTCCTCCCGGGGCAAATACCTGCATTTCTCACCCAACAGCCGCTACTTTGGGTCACTTAAAAGCTGCCCACATGAGGTGCAGAAAAGTCCCAGCTCTCTGCTGGGTGGGGGACAGGAACAGTCCCCAGCACAGGAAATGGGAAATAACTTGGGTGTTATAGACACTGATTTCTGGAGCCAAACTCCTCTGACCCCAGACGGGTTAGTCCTGGACGCACCCAAACAGTGTTTTGTATCCGGAACGCACGGCCAGGACCCTCGGGTGAGAGGCCAACAGGCACTGATGAAGTCGCTGCAGCTGGACAGGCCCCTCCTCCCCCCGTGAAGTTACTGGTTTTCTAGGCTTGTTTAGCCTGTTTCCAGATCAGAAAACACAAGCCTGTGGTAGTGCCCGATGTTCCACCCCGTGGCAAACGGAACACACCTAGTTTCCAACTGTCAGGAAATTTATCTTCCTAGGAAGGTCTTCATCTCGACTTTGCAGCCTGTTTCTTGTGGGTGTCAGAGCTGTGTCGCCCTCAGAAACACAAAACAGAAACAAGGGGTGTCGTGTTACCCTTCCAAGCCTCTGCTCTCACATCCGTAATAAAATTCTAACCAAAGACTAGAATTACTGCTCCGGCGTTTGGCATAACAATGTAAAGTGTTGATGGTTGAAGTTATCAAATGCTATCTCTATTTAGCTGGTGAGAATTCAATATTTGGTGTTAGGCACCTTTATTGAGAAAGCGTAGACAACATGGATTTGTGAGTCTAAGAGACTCATACTGAGTATCGAATACCTTTCAAATTCTTTAATTTAAAAAGTATATATAAAGAACATTTAAAAGCATAGAGGAAAATGTCACATTTTTATTATTTTAAAAGGAAGCACTATTCGGTCCCAGTTTAGCCTTTTCCCTCCGACACCTGCGTGGTGGACCCCACGGAGAGTAACGTGCGTTTGCTTCCCCTAGAATGGTCCGCACCTTCCGCCATCGGGATCGCGGGGCTCGGCGGAGGATTTGAAGTGGGAGTCGAGGTCAGTGGCTGCCATCACACACGTGCTCGTGTTTTCTCTGAAAGCAACCGAAACCGAACACGTGAAAGGGAGAGGCTTCCCCTGCTCTCGTTCACCGCCCGTGGTGATGGCTCCCTTTGTTCTCTCGGGGGCTTGCTGCCCGACGCCATCGAACGCCACCGCTCTTTCCTTTTCTTTCGTTAGAGGAGAATTTTTTCATTCATTGGGCTTCCATCGTTAGCCCATCTGTGGAGCAGACGTGGCTCAACTCGGGCACATTTTCGGCCGTCGGCGGCTCGTCTCTCCCCACCGTGGGCTGGGTTACTGAGGGGGCGCACGTGGCCGAACGGCGCATCGGCATTTCTGGCAAAATCCAGCTTTGTTACATCTGATACTCAAATTCCTTCAAATCCCACGGGACGGGCTAGAGACCGCCCTCGAGCGCGCACCCGGCAGGCTCCGAGGCGGCTGGGTTCAAACGCAGGTCTCCGGCGCTGCCCCCCCGCCCCCGCCTCGCCCTGCCGCTCGCTCCATGGGTGGCATCACTTTTCGGTGCTCACCTTGGGTGCCGCCACGGCCGGCCTGCGTCTGGGAAACAAACGCTTTCCCCGCGCCAACGTGCCTCGAGCATCCTCATTCTCAGTGCTTGTCGCTTTTCCTTAGAGACTGAAGTCGGGGGCAGGCACTCAGTGTGTCTCCCTGGTGTCCTGAGCCTCCGTGACGCAGGGCACTGTGCAGCTGACAGGTCCCAGGCCCGTGGCTGTGCTGGGGATGCCAGCGTGGACGGGGCCCTGGGAGCTGGAGCCCCCTGGGTCTGTGACCCGCGGGCCCCTGCTCCTGTCCTGCGCTCTTTGGCTTGGCTTTGGGGAGTGTTGAGTTGCAGGGAGTGCTTTTGGGGTTTTCCACCCACCCCTGTTTGATCTGTCCCGGTTCTAGGACAGTTTGCTTAACCCACTAACCCTCTCGCCCACCAGGGTGCACGGTTGTGGAGGGGCCGAACGCGGGCAATGCAGGAAACCCGCCGAGCGACAGCAAAGCTCAGAGGGGTTTGCCGTTCGCTCTTACCTGCGGGAACACTAGTTCCTTACAGCCTCACACCAAAACAAAACAGGACTCTTTCATGTTCTTTCTCTGTCTACACTGACGTGCTCGCCACAGCGTATGCAGTATATTTGAGTTTTAATCTGCATAGATTTGAAATAACATTTAAACATAATTTTTAAATAAATGGGTTTCTGCATTTTAGATATCGGACCTGGTTATAATTCTGAATTACGGCAGAGCAGTAGAAGCTTTTGCAAAAGGCGGTAACCTGACCCTTGGAGGGAACTTCACTGTGGCCGTCGGGCCCTTGGGAAGGTGAGTTCTGTGACATACATTCGATCGGCTGTGAAATAGACAAGCTATTAAAACTATATAGTGCTTTAAAAAAACTATGCATTGCCGTGGGTTAAGAAGAAACGAGTTCAAATTAAACAACGTAATGGTTTCTATACTCACAGGAGGTTTGAGGTTGCTTACCAATAAGAAATTTACAAAGTATAGCCAGTGTTACAAAGTGAGAAAATTCACACACACAGCAAGAAACTAAATATTTCTGAAACGCAAGCCATGTGTCTACTGGAATTGCACACAATTCACATTAAGCTTTGAAGGAGCCCAAGCGAGTCAAGTTGAATTGACTGGGCAAGGGCAGCATTTATCAGGAGGGACAGGGCTTATTTTCAAACTGAATTATGAAAAATCGGAGTGGAAGGCCTTTACTGGAGTGTCGTCTAAAACACCATGGGTTTTCCTTCTCTGTTAATGAAGTACTGCGTGCGTTCACTGAGCAATTTAGAAATATTTTAAACCCAGACTGTTCATAGAAGTTGCACGGTAAAACCACCTAAAAAGATTTCTAAGTTCCCTGGAAGTACCTGGTGTGAAGGGAACCCACCGCCTGGTACCCTGCAGACGCAGTTCCCCGTTTCGGGAAAGGACAGAGGGAGAGATGCAAGCCCTCTGTGCGTCCCCCACAACGCAGCCCGAGGGCGCACGGTCCCCAGGCCCGCCTCACATCCGCTGGGAGAGGCGGGAAGCGGAAGGTGGAGACTGTCGAAGGGAGTGCGGACGCGTCGGCCTTTTGGGTCAGAAGGCCAGCGCCCTCCAACAGCTGTCGTTAGGAGCAGAGCCTCTCACGGCCAGACCTTCTGTTTTGCAGGAATTTAGAAGGAAACGTCGCCTTACGAAGCTCTGCCGCTGTCTTTACATACTGCAAATCCAGAGGGCTCTTCGCTGGCATAAGTTTAGAGGGCAGCTACTTGATCGAAAGGAAAGAAACTAATCGAAAGTAAGTGCAAGCCAAATAAATTTCACTGATTTAAAGAAAGTGTTATGAGGAAATAATACTTCCTAACTTCATATGGTAGTTCTCACGAGTTTACAGGGTACCTTTGTATATTCTTTTCTTAAATCAACATGTGGCTCTGGGTGTATATTTATTCATTTACAAATTCAATGTGACTCTGTATGTACCTATAGAAAGTTTAGAAAGCACAAAAAGTTAAATGGAGTGGGAAACATTTTACCCCTTTAAGATTATTCACATTCTGCATTGTTGCTTTCCAGCATCTTCTAAGCACAGTTACCTTTTGTGTTGCCATACATGATTGTATCGTAAGATTCCACCCTAAATCCTGTCTCCCTACTTAACGTTATAAAAATCAAAAGTGTAAGTCAACTGCTACATAGTGTTCCGTTAATGGGATGTGTCACGTTACACGTGCCAGTCACAGCTCGGGGGTCCGAGTGCTTGCTCCCCATCCTGAGAGGCTTCCTGTCATTACACTCTCTCTTCCATAAACTAGAGACCACTTTTGACTTAAAAAAAACAAAAAACAAAAAAACCCCCCAGATTTGGACATATCAGGCCAAGAGGAGCTTCCACTTTAAACTGGCATGTGGCCGATTTCCCCAAAGCGGCCCCTTCGCGTTTCCTGGAAGACGTGTCTGTTGCCCAGAACAAGGTCCACCACTGCGAAGGAGGCCCTCCAGCCGGCAGCCGCGCTCGCCCCGAACAGAGGAAAGCCCGCAGCACCCACCGTGCCCGTCCAGGCAGGGAGGCAGGAGCCCACGGGGACCCGGCACGGAAACTGGGAGGTCCCAGGCAGTGGGAAGCACAGGTGTGCGGAGCCAGCTCCTCGTCGTCGAAAGTCAGGGAGGCGCCTTTGCTTCTGGTTTTATAAGTCTGAGAAACACCAGTTAGGGATGTTTTTAGGAAGTTCTGATTTTAGCCTTTGGAAGACTTTCCAAACTAAAATAAATATACTTAATATACCTAATCAATTGCAGGGCTTCCAAACATGCAAGGCAAATCTTACAGGATTTCAAAGCAAATACACATTTAAAGAAATTACAGAGTTGTACGTGGTGGCATAAAGCCTAAGGTTAAGGTTATTAAGAAAGTTAAAAAATAAAACTTATAAAAATGTATGTGCTTGTAGGTGGATTTGCAAAGTGTAGACATATATGTACAGTGGAACCTCAGTTCTGAAACTTAATTTGTTCCGGAAAACTGCTCGGGAAGCAATTCGAAAACCAAATCTCCTTGTTTGTCACCCGAGATGCGTGGCTGATCGTAAGGGATCAGCCCAAAAAGCTGGCCGGGGAGAGAATCGTGACCCAAAGTTTTGTTAGAAAACAGAGACTTTTTTCCGTGAACAACTTGGTCGAGAACCAAATTGTTCGAGAAGCAAGTCGTTCCAGAACTGAGGTTTGACTGCATATGTGTGATTGTACGTGCAGGCATTTGTGTGTATACGTGGTGTGCTCTTGATTTTTTGTGTGTATCAGACTGTTAATGACGGTTGCCTCTAGAGATGAGCTTGGAGGGTGAATTTCGGGGTTGAACCTGGGTTATGGCTTGTAGTTAGTGTTTGAAAAGTAGTTTACGAATAAATACACACACAGGGTTTAACTCCAGGAAAGTTCTATGTCTATGAAAGAGAGGTGCTCAGTTTGATTTTTCTGCTTAGATTTTACTGTCAAGATATTCGGGCGTACGACATCTTGTTCGGAGACACCCCGCGGCCTGCCCAAGCGCAGGAGCTGTACGAGGTCCTCGACTCCTTCACGGAGAAGTACGAGAACGAGGGGCAGCGGCTCAACGCGAGGAGAGCGGCGCGGGAGCAGCGGCGGCCTTCGGTGGGCGGCGGTCCTCTCCGCGCGGCGCCGGGGCGCCCCGGCTGTGGCTGGCTGGCCGGCCGGCCCTGAGCACGGCCTCCTCACGCCTGCAGCCCCCCGCGACCTCGGGCGCGTCACGGTCCCGTGAAAATGCCCCAGGCTTGACCGGCGTGGGCACAGGTTCCCGGGAGAACCGCAGTCTGCTTCCCGCGACCGCCTTCTCCCGGGTGCAGCCGTGGGGCGGCCCGGAGCCGCGGGTCCGAGGCCTGCCGTGCTGGGTCCGCTAGAGCCGCAGCTCGCGCCCAGTCGCTCGGTCCTGTCACTCGGAGCGAACACCGGCGCGCGGAGGCGGACTGTCGCTGCCTCTGCAGCCACGGGGTCACCGCCCCTGCGGGCGTTGTCCGAGGCGCGGGCGGGGGCTCCTGCGGGCAGGCGGCAGCCACGCAGCGCCACTCCACTCCGCGTGGCCCGGGCGGGGCCTGTGAGCGCGAGGAGCTTCACGCGCAGGTGCTGGGATGGAATCCGCCCGGCGCAGTCGTTAGGGAAAAATAGCCTGTGTGCTATTTCCTAAGTCAAAAGAGGGTTTTAAGTAAGTTGTGCGCATTTTTTGTTCTCCCAGGCTCAGGATCTGCCTCCCAAACCGTCCTCGCGACCGCAGCCGTGCGCTGAAGGCCAGCTCACCTTCGGCTCCCAGAGTAAATATTTTTCTTGTAATTCTAATACAGTTATAATTAAACAGTTATTAACTATTATTGTTAAGAAATGGAGCTACATTGTTAAGCTTTGCTGTCAACTGAAAGAACGTGTGGGCGCTAGAGAAAAACAAGGGCTCAGCTCTTCACCGCTGAGACGTTCTCGCCGCTGCTTGTTGGGGCTTCGGGTGCGTTAGATGCTTCTCCAGCTGACAGAGAGGTTTGGCTTTTAAGGTTCTCTCATTAGAAAGTTCTTCCAAAGTTTGTTATCCTACCGATTTAAAATGGGAACAAAACAACCCTGTTTTCCTCATGCCCGCGTGGATGTGTCACACACCCTTGGGAGCGCAGGGTTTCCTGACCCGGTGTTTAATCAGCCTGACTGTGCACAGCACCGTGTTCTGGCCTTCACTCCTCTTTGCATGACGCGTGTCTGTGACGGTCACTGTCCGTGTGCGGAGGGCGCCCGGGGAGGGCCGTTCATTCCAGCAGCGAGCTCGCCGTTGATGCCCAGCTCAGGAGGCGCGGGCCGCGGGCGGGGACGGAGCCAAGGGCCCCGGAAGGGAGTCTGGTGTCGGGGGAGAGCCGGGCGTGGACCTGCCTCGGGGGGAGGCCTCTCCTGCGTCCCCGGCTCTGCGCCCTCCCGGCTCCCGGGTCCCGACCCCTAGGCCGCTGGCCGTGCCCTGCGCGCACCTGAGCCCCCGCCCAGGAGAGAACGCAGGCCGCCGCGGGGTGGGCGCCGGTGGCTCCAGGGCAGCGACCCCGGCTGTGCTTCCCCGAGCCGCTCCGGCCCGGCCCTCTCGGCCTTCCACGCGGCCCCGATAGTTCCCTCTTTTTCACTTGAATAAGAAAAACGAAGCCCATCATCCTGAAGCACACTGTGCTGCCTTGTCACCCAAAACGTGAGGGCGGGGACCCAGTGTGAAGTGTGGGCGTCGCTGTGGGTGGGGAACGGCTCTGATGGGTAGCAAATGCTTTTGTTAATCAGGTGATTTCCATTGTATGTTGTCATCATTATACATTATTTTAAACATGACACAGCTATCACCAAAACAAGCTGTAACAGTAATATTATATTATTTTTTAAGTAATACTTGATTGTTGTTGTTTTGATAATGCGTAACTGTGATTCTTTAACTCTTATCTCCAAAGGAACACAAAATCTGTCACACTGCTCTAGAATATCTTCTGGCTCTACCTAATGTTTATAAGAACCAGCTTTCTTAGCACCTAAATCTTTACAGAAAGAATATGATGTTTAACCTGTGTCCTTGAAGAAAAAGGAAAGTCATTCCATGAACATCAACTAATTTTAAAAGTCTCATTTATATATTGAGATGCACTTCAAATAAGTTTTACTTTTATGTTTAGTAAGTTAACATTTATAGTACATTTAAGATTTTGATTGATTGTGTACAAATAACAATTACAACTTTATGAGAAATTATTTCATGGAAACTTGCATTTACTTAAAATGAAATTTAAAAAATAAGTGTATGTACACATCTTTGTTGTGGAAACTGTTACATAAAAAATATAATATTCGGAGCATTTGAGATCTTGCTCCTGGCATATGTCGTCATTTTGGCTCAAATAAAATCTTAGAAAATATAACATTAACATATTAATATAAAATCTTTGGAACAGATGGAATGGAAACATAGTTTGAAGGTTAAAAATGAATATTACATACTTTCTGACTATTGAAAAAAAAAGCTTGTTGCTTTTCTTTAATGATTGAGGGCGGGTTTCAGATCTCTAAGATATTTAGTGTCTTTTATCCAAAAAAGAGATATGGTTATTTCATTTAAATAATTGATAATGACATATGCTAAAAAGTACACCCTGTACAACTTCTGAGTTGTGTGAAACATTTTTAGGTGTTGATTAAGAAACACACAAATGGATACTTGCTGTTTAAAATTTATTTTAGGAGCTAAGCAAGCCAGGATGCTCGAAAATCGCCGGCGGGGGTGGCGGAGCCGCAAGCTCTTCGCCCTCAGGGCTGGGCTCACCGTGGGGAGGCGCGTCCGTCTGGCCGGCCCTCGGCCATCGGCCCTTGGCCCTCGCTGCGGGCCCGCAGGCGTGTGCGCCGTCCGCCTTGCATTCAGCCATTTTCTGGATTTTTTCAGGCCTTCCTTCTTGGTAAAACCAGATAAAATAATGAAATTCCTGTCACTTCTAGTACTTTAAAGTACTTGCTCAGGGGGTCGGTGTCCTCGGGCGCCGTATCTACTGTAAACGAATAAAAGCCCTGAAAGTTCCCTGATTTTCTCTCTTCCAGGCAACAGACGCGAATATAAGCTCTACCCTGAACTTCCCGGCCATCACGAGAGAGTCGGTAGGTAAACACCTCTGTTCCCGTCTCACCAGCACAGGCCGTGCCGGGCCGGCCCTGGGGTGCCCCCGGGACTTGCGGGGTGCCTGCGGTGCCGCCGGGCCACCACGGGACTGAGAAGTGCTTCCTCTGGGAAGCAGTGCCACGCCTTTCTCCTCGTCCTCGCTGAACCGCAGGCGTCGAGGGCGGCGCGGAGGCCGGAGCGGACAGGCGGCGCGGGGGGCCCTGAGCCCGGGGCCAGCGTGCGGGGCCGCGGCCTGTCCGGTCAGCGGCAGCGTTGGGACAGCCGGTCTGCGGGACGCGGCTCTGGCCGCCGTGAGTGCGGCTGCATTGTGCTGATTTTCTCTGGGTTTCGGCCCCATGAATATTTTTAACATTGTTAAGGAAATTTTTATTTTTCAAGTTCAGGTATTTTTGCTGCTCTGGGCAACAACCTCATAAAACTTATTAGGACTTCCTACAATAAAGACATTGAAGGACTTCCTCCAATCAGCCTTGCTTTAATACTCTTTAGAAAATGTTCTTTCAAAGAGACCGTGAGCTAGAGACGTGAGTGGGACACAGATGGAGGGCGAAGGCTGAATGTTGCTCAACAGCCTGTTCGCTCCCCACACGGCCGCAGCCACGGGCCGCAGAACCGCACGCTCGGGATCAAACTGGCGGAGAGTCGTGTGTCATGTACATGGAACGTCAAGGCGACGACATGCCCATTTTTTAAATCAATACAAATATCTCAAAAATGTCTCTTAAGCAGAGTCCCCTGACCAGGAGCCACCTCCTCCTGCCGGGCCCCGGCTTCCGACCCTTTGCCCGGGGGTCCCTGCCCAAGGGGCCCGAGGTCCAGCGTAGAGCCGTCCCCGGCCCCGCTCAGGGTCTGGTGCCGGGCGGGGAGGCCGCGGCCTCAATCTCGCTGACAAAGCTCTGCAGGATCGAAAAGAGTGTGCTTTGCTCTTGGCGATTCACCAAAACACTGAGCTTGTCCCTTGGGGGAGAAAGAGGGTGACGTTCAGTGTCTATACCGAGGTGGCACATCTGGAGGCTTCAGCAGTAAAGACTGCTGGGGTTAGACCTAGGCTGGGGTGTCCTGAGTTTAAGGGGCTCTCCAGCCTGACAAGGTCAAAGATGAGCTGAATTGCTGGGGAGGGGGGCGGGGCGGGGGCGGGGGTGGGAGCAGGCGCTCAGCAGGGACACGGAGCGGGAGGGGCCGTGGGGTGACGGGGGCTGGAGCTCCGCTCGGGTTCTCTATGGGCTGTACCCCGGTGCCTAACACCGTTAAGAAACACCTCTGAGGGCACAGGGCGCGCCCGCCGAATGGCAGCAGACGGCCTGACAGGCTCCCGCCCGCGGCTTTGTGAGCTGTTCCCGGGCAGCAGGCGTTCCGCTGTACAAACCGCAGGGGCTGGGGTGATAGAAGTGGGGGTTTATTTTAGTCCTTTCTCCAAAGATAAGGGATTTTGAAGAAAAGTAAGAGGGACAATTTAAAGCGTTTTTTTAAAAAATGCAAGTTACTTTACATTGCTGTGATTTGTAAAAAGCAGTATTGAAACCAGTTAAACCCCTACCCAGACTCAGCGCGTCTGTACTTAGTGCACTTAAGGAGCACCCAACAGCATGATTCATGTGCAGTCTCGTGGAGCAAGAAAGCAAACACAGAAGGTGTCTGCTTATATTTCTACGATGCTGTACAGTTTATCCTATTTAATGCCTTGTACTCATGTTAACTACTCCATCCTCAAAGTATTTTTCCTGATATAATACGTTAAATTCTATGCATTGTGCTGAAGTTTTTGTGAAACTTACAGATGTGCTTCTTGATGTCATCATTTCAATATCGTCGCTGCCGAAAGCGCCGATTAGGCCCAGAAGTGGGAGCCGCCGCCCCGCACGGGGCGGGGGAGGTGCTGGTGGAACAGCACTAGGCTCTTGGCTGCTGGGGAAGGCCCCGCACTCGTGGCCGCAGAGCCACACAGGCGTGGGTGCCAGCCCCTCCGTGGCAGCTGGCGGCTATGGAGCCACCATGACTCCGTGTTAAAACAAGAAAAAGGCAAATAATATTGTCATTTAGGTTATTCGCAAGTTAAACAGTAATAACCACAAGTATTTGCTAAATACATTGCTGAGTGTACAGTAACATGCAGTTCGACTTGTGTGGGTTTAGTAGATGTATTACCAAACATTTGCTCTTTGCCAAGAAGAAAAGCATACATTTAATAATGTGATGAAGGTCACGCAGACCTCCCGGCCTCCCGGGCACCAGACCCCCCTCAAGTGGTCCTTCATACCTCGCCTCACAGGCTCCCCTTTTTCCGCTAAAAGTGCGAATAACGTAAACATTTCTTCTTCTTTTAGGTGGTTCAAGTCAGCCTGTAGAAGTGACAGCACTGTATTCTTTTGAAGGACAGCAGCCGGGAGACTTGAGTTTTCAAGTGGGAGACAGAATCACAGTCACCTCGAAAACAGATTCGCATTTTGACTGGTGGGAGGGGAAGCTTCGCGGTCAGACGGGCATTTTTCCAGCCAACTATGTGACCATGAATTGAAGCTCATGTTACTTCTCCTTTGAGAATTACAGAAAAGTATTTCCACACTGACAGCGAAGCAATATTTAGTGCAAGTTTAAAAATTCGGCAAGAATAAGAAACAAAGGGCATCCAAATTGGAAAGGATGAACATGTATCCTTTATGTAAAGGAGTTTGTTCTTTCATCTCTAAATAAATGATTAACTCACGTATCTTTAAATGCTTTGTACTAATTTTATCACATATGCTCTTTAATAGTTAAGATCCTCAATTTATATGGTCAGTTCTTTTGTGTTTTTCAAACGTCACTAAACATTGATTTGGTGAAATATATATAGGTGACTTTATTTTAATTTAAGAATCTCGAGGGCAGAAACATGAATACTGGTATGTTTGTTTCAATTTCCAAACAAGAAAAAAAGAAATCAGCTTACAGAGGTAGTAGAAGTAATTAGAGTTGTAGGTATTAACCAGAATACAAATCCTTAAAAATTATCTTTATACTTTTAAAAATTGTGTATAGACATTTATGGTAGAAATGTCCTATTACAAAGAAATTCAACCACTATGCATTAAAAAAGATATTATCTATAAGTTTTTTCTTTATAAGGTTATATTTGTTCATTTCAAGCACTAGGATCAACTTATGTTGACATGGTTTATTTGTCCCTAAATAAATGCTTTTTAAATGGTAATTAATGTCTTGGTTTTGTTTTCCTTATTTTTTGTAAAGTAAGCCTAAGTCCTGTGGTGGTTCTGCAGGTTAAAACCCACCTCCACGCCTGGGCGGCCTGACTTTTTTAAAGCTTTACTAATGTGTCATTGACGAACCAAAACGTAAACTGTTCAAAGGGCGCAGCGTGACAGTTGGGTGTGCACACACGTCGCGAGAGGGTTCCCACCAAGTAGACGCGGCCGGAGTCCCTCGTGTTTCCCTTTTTTTTTTTTGGTGAGAACACTCAGGTTCTACTCTCTTGGCCAACCTCAGCGACACAACGCGATATTATCAGCCAGAGTCACATGCCACCCGCTGGGTCAGCGGGACACTGTTGTAGCCGAAAGGCATCGCCCTTTGACCAGCGTCTCCAAACGTCCCCCACCGCTTGGCCCCTGGCAACCACCCCTCGCTCTGCGGCTGTGAGCTCACCTTCCGTATTTCCTTGTGGGTGAGATCCTACAGCGCTTGTCTTTCCCTGGCTGACTTGTTTCACTTAGCGTAATGCCCTCCGAGTCTGTCCTAAATTCCAGGATTTCCTTTAGTAAGACGAAAAATACTTCATATGTAACTGAATTCTCCATCCATCCATCCATCCGCTGATGAATTCTTAGGATTTTCTATATATAATGTAATCTGCCAACAGAGAATACCTCACTTCCTCCTTTCCAATTTGGATGCCTTTTATTTCTTACTCTTGCCCAACGTCTCTGGCCAGGCCCCCCAGCGCTACGTTGAACAGAAGTGGCAAGAACTGGCCTCCTTGTTCCCAATCTTAGGGAAAAGCACATTATTTAATCCCCACATATTTGTGAATTGTCCAGGGTTTTTCTTGTAAATGATTTTTACTTTCATGCCATAGTAGCCAGAAACAGTGCGGGATAGAATGCCAATGTCCTTAAATTTATTAAGACTTGCTTGGTCTGGCCTAATGTAGGATCGATCTGTCCTGGAGAACGTTCCGTGTGCGCCCCGGAGGCCCCACCCGTCCGGCCCTGGGCTGCTGTCCCAGCCGCCAGCTCGGAAGCTCAGCTACGCGTTCTTCTAATTCCCTTACAGACACGCACCTGTTAACTCTTTATAATGCAACTCTTAAGACAAGGACAGAGGAGAGACTGAAGAGCCAGGTTATCATCACCCGGCAAAAAAATAAGACGTACACAGTACGGCCTCCTTTTCAAACTCTTCTTCTCTTTTCAAACTCTCCTTTTTACTCAAAGGTGATCAGCATCCTGAATTTGATATTTATTAGTTCTTTCTAATTCTATATGAATTTATGATACACATGTATTTTTCTAAGAAGTATGTGGTATTGTTTTGCATGCTCATAAAGTTCACAAAATTTAAACTTTTAAAAGCCAATTCATTTGCAGTAAAATTGTTATAAGCAAACTGACATATACATTCAGGAAATTAAAAGAGAAGGTGAAGAATTTGAGCAGAAGGTTGACACTACAGGAGAGAACTAAATGGAAAATTTGAAATTGAAAAATATACCAAGAAAGCAATGCATGGATCTAACAGTCACGGAACACAGCCCAACGTGAACCACTGAGTGGGAGGTAGACGAGGAACGCCAATCCGGCCTGGTCCCTGAAGGGTCGCGAGCACTGGAAACACCGGGAGGGCCAGTGTCCCCGCCGTCGCTCCCGGGCGCAGGATCGCTCGGGGCGCAGGTGCTGCGGGCGCGGCGCGCTGTCTGCGGACTCCTGCGCACAGGCTTCCCTGGCTGCGGTTTCCATCTTTACCGGTGACCTCCAGCATCGACCCGATCTTCTCCAGAACAAAGAGGACAATAGTCCTGAGCGACGTGTGTTAAATCCACTGTTAACTAAGGGAGGGTCTGCGTCCGTAGGCGTTCGGTTGCGCGGAGCAAAGGCAGGGGTGCGAGCCTTGCGAAGCCCGCGCCCGCCCTGCGCCGCTGACCCGCGGCCCAGGCCTCCCGGCGGCTGCCCTGGGCAGGGTCTCTGTCGTCCATTTCTCCGCTGAAACGGTAACATAAAAGCAAAAGGCCCTCAGAACTTTGCTTCTTTGCTAACGTTCTCTCCCCCGTAACAGAGCCTTTTGTTCTCGGCGTTTTCCCATCCGGCTCCCGTTCTCGTTCTGCGCAGGTCGCTTTTCACTTTGCTTAGAACAAATATTCCTCTATGGCACTTATTTCACTTTTTACTCTGTTTGGAGCATCTTAATGTGCTGCTTCATAATTCGCATTGTATCTGGAATATTGCGCAATAGTTTAAAAGGTGACTAGGCCCGATTTTCTTCCACGCACGGATATTATTGCTGCAATTCATACTGCGATGAGTGCCTTTATTAGTTCCGCTCTCTCTTTAGACTGTTTTCTTCAGATTCATTTCCATAAGCCCATATATTTAAAGATGTAACACCGGAGATAGTGTTTTTTACAAATGTATTTACAGTTGAAGGGCTGGAAGTAGCAGGACTGGAGCCGTCCTCCTGCGTGCGCGGGAGAAACCAGGCGCGCGCCTGTGCTCCTGCCTCCTGCTCAGGCCTCTTTCCCAACCGCCCCGGGAAACGCCTGCGCCAACGGACAGCCCTTCGCCTTCGGCCGCGCAAAGCCTCCCGTCCGCGCTCAGCGGCTCCGCCCACCCAGCCCCTCCCTCACGGCTCAAACCCCGGGCGCCCCCTGGGCCGCAGCGGCGCCCGCGGGGAGCCTCGCAAAGGGCAAACCAGGGAAAGCAGCCGCTGGCGGGGTCCCCGCCGTGGCCGCCCCGACAGAAACAACCGCGCGGCCCGTCTCGGGGCGGGGACCCTTCGCGCTCGGCGCGCACCTCCCGCCCTGAACCGGGTTCCCCACGGCCGCCGCCCGCGCTCAGGCCTCGTTTCGCTCCTCCTGTGGCCAAAGGGGCGATGCGAGAGCGGGTCCCGGGCGCCCATCTCCGCCGCCCCCCAGCCCCGCGTCCCGGCTCCTGCGGGAGGGACCGTTCCCCCCCACCCCAACCCGCAGGGTCCCCAGGACGGACCAAAAGCTCCGGGCTGGCGTCCGAGACCCTGCTCGGGGCTGAAGCCGCACCCGGTAGGGGCTCGAGGCAGGTTTGAGACCAGTGGCCTCTGCGCTCGGTTCTCCCCGACCGGCCCGCGCCCCGCGGCGGGGAAACCTGCGGCGTCGCCTCCCCAAATAACAGAGGGCCCCGCCCCAAAACAGCCCTCTTTCGCATGCGCGTGTTCTTATAAAACCCTCCGGTTTCCCACAACCCCTGGGGCGCCCTTCTAGGGGGCGCTTCTGATAACGCCAGATGTTCGCATTTCCTCGGTTAAATACTGTTTCCATGGGGGGTCGATCTTCTCCTTCGGCCAATCAGGACGCGCCGGCTCTCGCCGGTTAGACGTCCGCGGCTCACCTGCTCCTTTTAAAATGTTTGCAGTGTTTGCTTTGACGTCCCAGGCACCGCGCGCGCCTCTGCGGGAGGGCGGCCCGTCGCCTGGGGCGCCGGGCGGCGGAAACTCGGGCGGTGCGCCGCCGGCGGGCCGAGCCCTGGCCTGGAGCCGGCGCGGTCGGTCGCAGAGCGGGCCCTGGACGGCGCGGAGCGGGCTCCTCCCTGAGCCCTTCGAGTGCCTCCAGCGGCGCCGAAGCAGGTGGACTCCCAGGGGCCGGGGGACGCGGGGAGGAGCCTGAGGTCTGCGACCCCTGCAGATGCAGTTAAGGGGCTGCTCCTCGCTCCAAGGCGCAGTGAAGGAAGGGCCCAAGGTCAGGGGCCTGAGGAGGAGAGTCCGAACCAGGTTTTCGGTGACAAGCGCGTCGGACGGGCGGAAGCCGAGCCGTTCAGCTGGTGGGCCTCACTGACGGGACAAAGGATGGGCATTTGGAGCGTCTGCTCTGGCCTTGCCGCGGGTTAGCAGGGGCACCCGCGGGGCCCGGCTCCGTCTGTCCGGAAGGCCGTTTTTGCCGGCAGCTCCGCCTGGAAACACAAAAGGAGGACCCTGCCCGGGATCCCGGGACTGGCGCAGAGTTTGGCAGCTTTTATCCAGGATGGATTTCCTCCTGAGCTCAACTTTCATGGCGTTCTCTATGCTACGATTTTGTAGAATTCTCATTTCAGACCCTTGCCAACCACAGAGCATCATCCCAGAATGGGGGCGCCGAGCCGGTGGGGGTTTGAGCTCCACAGGGTCAGGTGTAGCTCACGGTGGGGGGAGGGCCCCTGTCTTCGGGGGAAGGTACTTCGTCCTGGGGTCTGGGCTGAAAACGTGGAAGCCCCAGCAAAACCACGGGGACCCCCTGGGAAACCAATGCTTAAGGATTGTAATCGCGTCATTTCTAGGATTCTGTGGCTTGTGCCTGTATGCATGCATCCTAAGTTCAGTCTTGCTAACTAAATATTTATAGCATTTAAAAAGCCTTATATTTAACAAAGCCTTCAAAAGTTGAAGGTTAAACACCTGGGCCACGGGGACCTCGCCTGCAGCAGGTGCCGGGGGCGGCCCTGGGCAGGGCCCTGGGCTTCCGAGCCGCCCAGGCCACGCGTCCCCAGGCATCACGCAGCCAGAGGGGCACTGGTGCTTCCACCGAGTGCAGCACGTTGTGCTCTGACGACTTAGAGCAGGACTCCCGGGGACAGGCCTCCGACACGTTCCCCTCTGCTGCGCGCGCTGGCGGGACGTTGCCCAGGCAGCAGGTTTCAGGGCTGCAGTGACGCAGCCACCGCCACCCTCCAAGGCCCTGACCTTGCTTCTGAGTGTCCGGCCGTGACCTCACGGGAAGGCCTCTTTCTCAGGATCTGTGTATTGTAATTACAGTCTCCTTGGGGGAGGCAAGGAGAAGGGCCAGCTGTCTGGCCAAGGTGGAGCACAAGTGGAGCAAGAGCAGCCGGCGGGTCAAGCCCTGGT